TCCTCCGAAGGCTGCCGCCGCATCAGCGGGCGCGGCACCTGGTTGGGGAGGGAGGTTTAGAATAGGGTTTAAGGTTGAGGGTTTAGGGTTTGGGGGGTTTAGGGGATTTAGGGTTTGGGGTTTGGGGTTTGGAGTTTAGGGCTTAGGGGGTTTTAGGGTTTGGGGTTTGGGATTTGGGGTTTGGGGTTTGGGTTTGGGGCTTGGGGCTTGGGGTTTGGGGTTTGGAGTTTGGGGGCTTTGGGGCTCAGGGCTTCAGAGTTTCCGGGGGTTTAAGTTTAGCATTTAAGGGGTTGAGGGGGCTTCAGGGCTGTCTGGCTTGGAGGCTTCATTGTAAGGTTCACGAAAGGTTGAGCCCCTGAACCCCTCAAGAATCAAACCCTAAGCCCTAGGCCCTACAAGCCCTAAGCCCTAGAACCCTAGATCTTTTCCTCTGGACACCAAGCCCTGCAACTCATAAACCCCTGACCCCAAGCCCGTAGACCCTAAACCCCTCAAGACAACCCTCTAGCAAATCCCTGTGCACCCTCAACACAAAAAAATCCGACAAAAAAAGCTTAAACATCTTAAACCACTGTAAATCTGAAGAAGAAAAAAGCCAACAACACCAAATTCAAAACCCTTCAAGCAAAGCCCCGCCTCAGGCTCGAGGCCCTGGTAAGGCACCTGCTTGGGCTTGTTTGGTTGTTGTGTGTCTTTCTTGAGGGGGGCGGGGGGAGGGGAGGGGGAGGGGAGGGGGGGGGGGAAAGGAGGGCGGGGAGGGGGGAGGGGTGGGAGGAGAGAGAAGGAAGGGGTGAGAAAGGATTCTCTCTCGGGAAGGGGTAGGAGGGGCTAATTTTCAACATAAAAACTCATGGTGTTGAAATGTAGTCATATCTAAATCCGCAAAAGAGGCTGTCGGATTTGAATAGCTGAAGAAGTATTTTTTAAAAATTGTTCACCAGACTTAGAGCCATTTAAACAATGCACACGCCAAAAAACTGAAATGAACCGGTTCGAACTGTTTAAGTTATTTAAATCGGAAGTTCATGTTACTTTGAACTAAACTATTCAAAATGTTTGAATGTAAGTAACGTGAATAAGGGGAGAACGCCGAGGCAATTAAGGCCATTTGAACCTTTCTAATTATGTAATTCCGGGAACGACTTTTCCTGATTCAACTAGTTCAAACGCCATAAACGGCTTGAACGTGAGCCCCGTAAGAAGGATCCTCGGACGTAACAAATCATATAGTTCGAGTCAGCCAATTTAAACTATTTGAACTTTTTTTGAAACTGTTCAAAGTAGTTGAGAGAAAAAGGTGAAAATCCGGAAATAACGCCAATTTAGTTCATTATTTTTTTGAGTATGTATATCCGGAAGCCGCTCTTACAGACTTATATTTTTCCAAATAAAATTCCTCTCCTTGTTCTAAGATTTCGCTTTGTGTAAAAGAACTTCATTTGTTGTTTTATTGTAAGTAATTGAAACAGTGAAATAGGCGGACGTAAACCGTTTAAATTACTTTCAATCCGTAAGAAGGATCTTCCGATTTGGATCGTTCAAATCATTCAAGTAGTTGTTTCCAAAGTTTCGTTTACATAAGGAGGAAATCCTGAATCAAAGCCAATCGAACGCTTCAAACAATCTAGCTATTTCAATTTGGAACTCAATTCGCGCGTGTAATCTCTAACTGTAAACTAAATCTAAACTAAAAACAATAATAAAAGTCATTGGCAGGCATTCGTTTGAAACAGTTTCAACTGTTTAAAAATCCGCAAAAATGGTTTTCAATTTCTGGTTTAGATAGTACAAACAAATCAATTCAGTTGGTTTACACTTGTCAAATTATTTAAAATGTTCCATTGTTTTGACTGTTAAGGCTTTTCAGCGGTTTTAAATGATACATGTTCAGATGATAAACGATCCATATGGCTTACTGTTCCTGACTCTAGTATGTGATTAAAAAATGAGCCGGCCCGAGACATTCTGGAACTTGAGCTTGGCACGCCTTTGTTCCTTGGGAGCCATGTGAACGAAGCGCCGAGCGCCCTCCACAAGGGCATCATTCTCCCTCAATCATGCGTAAGTGGACGCGAAGTCCTCACACGGGTAGAGACAGAGTAGCCGCTGCAACGTTTGCGGCGCCACAGCACGGAACCAATCTCTCTTGCCCTCTTTCTCTCTCTGGCTCCCTCTCTCTCTCTCTCTTGCTACGTTTCCGTCTCTTTCCTTCTTTCCTTCTTTCCTTCTTTCCTTCTTTCCTTCTTTCCTTCTTTCCTTCTTTCCTTCTTTCCTTCTTTCCTTCTTGCCTTCTTGCCTTCTTGCCTTCTTGCCTTCTTGCCTTCTTTTCCTTCTTTCCTTCTTTCCTTCTTTCCTTCTTTCCTTCTTTCCTTCTTTCCTTCTTTCCTTCTTTCCTTCTTTCCGCTTTTCCTTCTTTCCTTCTTTCCTTCTTTCCTTCTTTCCTTCTTTCCTTCTTTCCTTCTTTCCTTCTTTCCTTCTTTCCTTCTTTCCTTCTTTCCTTCTTTCCTTCTTTCCTTCTTTCCTTCTTTCCTTCTTTCCTTCTTTCCTTCTTTCCTTCTTTCCTTCGTTCCTTCCTTCCTTCCTTCTTTCCTTCTTTCCTTCTTTCCTTCTTTCCTTCTTTCCTTGTTTCCTTCTTTCTGTCTGTCTCTCTCTCTCTCTCTGGAGACGTTTTCTGGAAGGTCAATACAGCGCACGACTGCTTAGCAGACGGCCGCCTGGGCGATGTACAGGACTCCAGCAAGAAGCTTGAAGCTCAGGCGCGCTGCCCTCACCTGCAGTGGCTGCCACGCCTTCCACCGCCGACGGGCATACCACCGTTCCTCCTCCCACTCCTCCAGAGTTGGCGGTGGCTTGTTCGACTGCACGCACACACGCAGTCATTCTCCAGCCGTCCCTCCTCTCTCTCCGGCCACCAACCTTCATAAGCTGCCACGCAGCCACAGGAGCAACACACAGTTGCCCACTGCCACATACGCCCTTCCCACCTCCAACGCCAAACATCCTTCTCGTAATCATAGAAATAGCTCTCCGGCTGCTTCGACAACGCACCGCCCATGTCTGCGGTAGTGGTGCGGAGCAAAGAAGCGCTTTGAGCAAAGAAGCTGCGACGGATCAAGAGGTCCTGAGACGACCCGCAAGGATTCTCTTTCATATAAAAAAGACGTGTATGTATGTATGTTGCAGGTGAATTTGCCGGTTCGTCCAAAGCCTCCCAGTTACGGATAAGGTGGGATCTGTTCCTGTATAGAGTTCCTCTCTGGAAATTATCAAGAAGACTTTGCATAGGTGCAGAAATGAGATGAATGTTGTGTTGCGCAAAAACCTCCTGGGGCGAATCGCACGCCGAAGTTTACATTGAATTCGTGTCGGGCGTGACAGTGCTAGAATCACGCGAACTCGTGTGTAGCCCACGCTACTGAAATCGAAAGCCATCACGAAAGCGCGCCAAAACAATCGAGACAAAACACGGATCCATACCTCATGGCCGCATTTGCAACGCCGCGCGGATCTTGAATGACGACGCATGGCATGCATAGACGGCTAAACGGATATGTGGTCATAGATTCGACCAGTGATCGATTACAGGTCATACTGAGGCTGATGCTAAGTTTGACGAACAAAAACGAGTTGCATCACCTTGCCGAGTAGATATCTGACACGCGAGATTTTGCTTTCACTCTTGAATAGACGTATCCAGGCCGGAATGCCCTGGATGATCGATACATCATTCGTGGCCAAAGAGCTTCAGATAAGTCGTGCAGATGAAGCAATGCTGGTTGTGTGTTACACTGATTCCGATTGGTTGGATCTCATGACCGGGCGCCTACATCTTTGCTAATGGTAACTTGGCATTCGCTTTTGCCCGCAAACAAGGTTGTATCAATCTAGAGTGCAAGGCTGAACTGGAGTCAGGGGTGAGTGGCACTGCTGAAGGATTGTATGTCAGCTGTGTGCGACACATCTGCTGTTCTTGGGACACGCGCATGAAAGGTCGGATTCGAAAAGTATCAGGTTTTCGGTTCTGGATAGTGGGGTTGGGGTTTGCAAGAGCGCCTTCGATCGTGTCCAAGGAAGTGCAAGACATCGAACTGGTGTGTGTCTGACAAACTACTTTTGTGATGCCTGGGCGTGGCCACCCCAAAAGTCGTAGGCCTTCCAAGCACTTGGATGCATCGAACAGCCGAGCAGAAACACCAGCAGCATTGCCACATTCCAAATCTTCTAACGCTGCTAACACTAGACATGTTCCTGATGCTACTACTACTGCGGCTGCTGCTGCTGCTGCTGCTGCTGCTGCTGCTGCTGCTGCTGCTGCTGCTGCTGCTGCTGCTGCTGCTGCTGCTGCTGCTGCTGGCACCCTCTAAGGGCATCAACACTAGACACCATACTGATTACACTGACCGAATTGGTTGTAGTCTTGACACAACAAGCTTATGTTACCTGCAAGGGTAGCAGCATTGTCATAACGTACGCCTCTAACATTGCTATGCGTTGCTATTGGTACTACCATGGTTTTAACTCTGCTTGCCAGCGCTGCCACTATTTTCGAACGGTGCGAATTTGGACTTGCCACTGTTTGGATTGTACCTGCGAGAACGAAACGGGCCTCCGGAGCTTTGTATCCCGGCGTTCCCACCGATGGGAAGGCACGGCCTCACCCCGCTCAACCCACTACAACCACCTACTGTCAAAAGGCGGAGGATTAGAACAGCCCTCTAATGATCCTGTCTGAGGCTGATGCCATCACAGCGCTTGCTGAGGCCGAAATTTGAGGCCTCTAATAACACGCGGGAAGGCGAAGAGAATCCAGGAAAGCTTCCACCCTTCCTGTTTACTTCGCGCCTTTGCGTACCCCCGCGCGTCCAGGAGTACGTTCGCCGGCTTCACGTCCCTCCACAAGTGCCCGTGCATGTGGTCGAAGGCCTTCAAATAAACAAACCATCAACATAACCACAACGATGGGCTGAGGCAGCACAGAAGACAGTGACGGTCGCACATAACTAAATGTCCGACACGCGACGCGTCCCACTGTCAGAGAAGCAGAAACGCTTCTTGCTGGCAGGCAAAGCCTCGGTCAGGCAGGCCACGTGGAACCTGACGCTTGGGAGGTTGCCTGCCATGATCAGGAAAGGTAGCGACGCCTAGGTAGGAAGACCTATAGGACTAGACACTCAAATTGACACTCCAAAACTCTCCGCAGGGAACTCTTGAGCAGGCACGAGGGTGGGAGCTCAGGTATTCTCAGGGGATTGGCACTCGAAGGGCCAGAAGCCCAGGCGAGGATTGCCGGACACCCCTGCGAAGGGAAGATTTCACAGCACCCCACACGCCGAGTCGTTGAGGGCCACTCAAGATGATGAAGATGATGGCAACAGGTGCGGTGTTTCGCCTCGATCCTTGACGGTGGTAGAAGGTGTGCAGATCTCAACCGGGCGCCACCTGGAAAGCTTGGCATCCAAACCTACATGACACGTCTGTCCACCACATTGAGTGTGGCCCGGCACCATCATTGCTATCACTCACTACTATTGCTACCACACGCTTGCAGTATTACACTCATACTAGATTAAGGGAATTTGTAATTTGCTTGCTTAAGGCTGCCCGTTTTATCTGTTGACGCGCGCACGCATGTGCGCGTGCATAGGCACGCGCGCGTGCGCGTGCCCTTCACGCGCGTGCGTGCATGTTTGCGCGCGCACGTGTGATGTGAGTTGCGTGTTGTCGTTGTCGCTGTCGTTGTCGTTGTCGTTGTTGCTGTTGTTGTTGTTGTTGCTGCTGTTGTTGCTGCTGCTGTTGTTTTTGTATCCCGGGAGCCACAACCGTCCCGACATCCCAGACACCCCGTGACCACAATCCCCCCCCCCCCCCCCACCACCCGTGTTCGTTCGTTGGGCCCAACAAGAGGTTCGCCACAAGCCGCGCCCTAATTTGTTGAGGGTAGGCATTTCGACGCACGGGGCCCGACTAGCGAGGCCCTGTTGATGGGTTGGTTTTAGCGCGAAATTTGCATAGCTCCGTTGCATAAAACTCTAGTGTAATTTGTTCCGGGAGGGTGTGCCGTCGCAGGGGTCAGCAGAGCATATAAACATGTTTGCACGTTTTCGTGCTGAGGAGTTGAAACCGGTTGAACATTTGCACCTGCGCGCAAGGAGGCCTTGTGAAGTTAGAAATGCAGCCTGTGTGAAATTGAGCATGGAGCAATGACCAAATGCCCACCAAAGCGAACGGCACGCGCCCCGCACTTTGTAGACGGCGCCGCTGATTTTGACAAGCGCCGTGACCTGCACGAAACTTGCGGAGGCCACTGTTGATGGGAGAAGCGCTGCAACGGCTGCACCTCCTCGCGGCCATAATCATAACCCACGACAACGACGCGGTGCTTCTTGAAAATCTTCGCAGTTCAGCGGGGCGACGCGAACACCCCTGCCCCTGCAGGTCCTTGCAGGCACCTTTTGGATTCACTTGCAAAGTCGAGATGCAGCTGTGCGTTGATGTGGAGTGTCTGATTGGCCGCGTCCACTGGATGAAGCGCCTGTGTTCGCACGCACAAACCAACGTTTCGCGTCGGATGACTGCGCTGCCAAATGTGGCACGACCAGGTTACTTGCAGCACCCACCGTTCAGCAGAGATCATGTCGACATGACATGAGGTAAGCCGGTTTAGTGCTTTAGGGTCTCAGGGGACTGTTGCGGCGTGCGGTGTAGCCCTAACCCTAAGCCCTAAACCCTAAACTCTAAACAGTCGGCTCTGTTTCCCAACTTACCCTACCCATCTTTGGCTGGGGCTGTGCCCGTTTTTGTAAGGGTAGTTGCATGGAGGTTTAGGGTTGAGGGTTTAGGATTAGGTTTTGGGTTCAGGGTGCCCTACAAATTAAGGGCCCATACATGAGAACCCTTTAGAGGAGATTGGGGACCACATTAAGGGCCCATGTAACTACCCTCCCTGAATAAGGTTTCAGGGAACAGGGAACCCTGCAACCCCCGATGGGCCTTATTAGGGTTTAGGGTTTAGGGCTTAGGGCTTAGGGTTTAGGGTTTAGGGTTTAGGGTTTAGGGTTTAGGGTTTAGGGTTTAGGGTTTAGGAGTTTAGGGCTTAGGGTTCAGGGTTTAGGGTTTAGGGTTGCCTAATCCGGTTTTGACTTCCTTGCGAAGGCTCCCCGCCCCCCCCCCCCCCCCCCCATTTATGTTGGGGTGGCTAGGGGGAATGAAGCATGGTTAAGGGAAACCCTTAAAGCCTAAATCCTCTAAAACTCTCTTACCCTAAACTCTCTTAACTCCCGGAAACTCTCTTAACTCCCTAAAACTCTCTTTACTCCCCGAAACTCTCTTAACTCCCTAAACCTCTAGTAGGTCACTGAAACTCTCTTAACTCCGGCTTCAACTGGCTGGCATTCAGCAGGGAATGAGGGCATGAGGCACCCTATATAATAAGGGATTATATGGGGCCGCCTAAACCCTAGACCCTAAATCCTAGACCCTAAACCCTCTATATACCCTCTAAGGGATTGTATAGGGTACCTCCCTTCCCTCATTCCACCCTAAACCCTAAACCCTAAACCCTAAGCCCTAAACCCTAAACCCTAAACCCTAAACCCTAAGCCCTAAACCCTAAACCCTAAACCTCCATACTAAGAACCAGAAACCAAGGCACCTCCAGCTCGAGGCCCGTGCGCCGCGGCGTGGCAAAGGCGACAGCAGCGAGCCTCTGCGCAGAAAGGGGTTTAGGGTTTAGGGTTTAGGGTTTAGGGCTTAGGGTTTAGGGTTTGGGGTTTGGGGTTTGGGGTTTGGGGTTTAGGGTTTGGGGTTTGGGGTTTAGGGTTTAGGGTTTAGGGTTCAGGGTGTAGGGTTTAGGGAATGCTCGAAGACCTAACATCACCTGGTGTCAACGAGTCGTACCACCTCACCCAAGAGGATCCATCTTTCTTTGGTAATCACCAGCAGTTCATTGCGATCCTTGAAAAGCCGCAAGCCGACTTCGGTCACCACTAAGACCGTGCCAACAGGCCTGCTCCGCGTGATTTGTTTTTCTCCGTCTCTTTTTTTTTCTCTCTCTCTCTCTCTCTCTCTCTCTCTCTCTCTCTCTGTCTCTCTTCTAGGTGTAGGGCTTCGGGGTTAGAGCTGAGGGTTGATTATGGCTTCGGGGTTTTCCAGGTGTTTATGCCTGCACGTACCTTACTTGGGCGGATAGAATGAAGTTGCCGGCAACCCCACTTAGAAGTACGTAAGAACTGCGAAGTGGCGGGCCACTATAGTTTCGACCCTCAACCCGAAACCCTGAAGGTTCTGGGGTCTTTTTGAAAGCCCGTAAAAAAAGGGTTCAGAATTTGGGCTTAGGATTTGGGGGTTACAGTAGGGTTCAAGTTTGAGGGTTTGAGGGTCGGGATGGTTGCGCTTGTTGGTGCGGGGCTTTCAACCCTCGACATGTCTTACCGAAGCCGCAAAGAACTGGCCAAAACAAACTTCGCTGAAAGGAAAACGGAGAAAAGCCCTACAAGACAAACTAAACCCAAACCCGAAACCCCAAAACCGTAACCCCCTAAACCCCTACACCCTCCCAACCTCCAAACCCTAAACAAACCCTAAACCTAAACCCCTGAAACCCCTGAAACACCTAAAGCCCCAAACCCCTGAAACCCGTATACCTCCATACCCCCAAACCCGCAAACCCTAAACCCCTAAGCCCGTGAACAACTAAACCCCTAAAACCCTAAGCCCTAAATCCTAAACCCCTAAACCCTCCAAGCCCTAAGCCCCCAAACCCCCCAAACCCCCTAAAGCCCAAACCCTAATCCCTAAACCACTAAACCCTCCAAGCCCTAAACCCTAAACCCTTAAACCCTAAACCCCCAAACCCCCCCAAACCCCCTAAACCCCAAACCCTAAACCCTAAACCCCTAAACCCTCCAAGCCCTAAGCCCTCCCAAGCCCCTAAACCCGTGAACAACTCAACCCCTAAAACCCTAAACGCCTAACCCTAAACCCCTAAGCCCTCCAAGCCCTATACCCTAAACCCGAAATCCTCCAAGCCCTAAACCCGAAACCCTAAACCCTAAGCCCGCGCGTGAGCAGAGGTGCCATAGCGGTGAGAGCAGCGGGACCCGCATCATGGCCCGCGGGCGCGGGAGTCATCTGACGCCATGGCCAACGGCTTGGTGGGGGGTTTGGGGGGTTTAGGGTTTAGGGTTTAGTGTTTAGGGTTTAGGGTTTGGGGTTTAGGGTTTGGGGTTTAGGGTTTAGGGTTTAGGGTTTAGGGTTTGGGGTTTGGGGTTTGGGGTTTGGGGTTAGGGGTTAGGGTTTAGGGCTTGGGGTCGTGAGGGGCGGTGGACCCAAAAACCCTAAACCCAAAACATGGCTTGGGTTTTGGATTTGCGGGTTTTAGGGTTTAGGATTTAGGGTTTAGGGTTTCGGGAGTGAATGTTTAGTGTTTCGGGGTTGAGGGTTGAGGGTTGAGGGTTGAGGGTTGAGGGTTTAGGGTTTAGGACATCGGGGTTTAGGGCTTAGGTTTTAGGATACAGGGGTTTAGGAGTGAAGGGTTTCGAGGCTCGAGGGCTCAAAGGGGCTCAAGGGTTGGGGCATTGAGGGCTCAGGGTTTTGGGGCATTGAGGTCTTAGGGTTTTAGGGATTGAGGGCAGGAGACGGAGAGGATCTGGCAGAACACGGAAGGCTGGCTTAGGACACCTCGGGCCACCAAGCGAGCGCGGCAAAGTCAGCACAGCTTGCGCCGCTCAGGCTTCGATGTGCAGCGAGGGCTTAGTGCCTAAAGCTTGGTCTTTGGGATGTAGGGTCGGTTCAAGGCTTAGGGTTTAGAGTTTAGGGTTCAGGGTTCAGGGTTTAGGGTTTGGGAGTAAGGATTTCGGGTTTAGGGTTCAGGGTTTTCAGGGGCTGCAGGGTGTTGCGAGACGCCAGTGATCACCTGTAACTATAGCCGTCCTGCTTACAATCCCCAGCTACAGCTATACCATGCACCACCACCATGTAGGCCCCTACTTCCCGAACAGATTTCGAGCCGAAGTTCGAAACACCCGCCCGGTCAGCACAACGTTCTCATGAACACACACGGGGTCAGTGCGCCCTTTTGGGGATACCCTGAACGCCGGGGTCGGAAGTACTCTGAAACATCACCTAAACCCTGAACCTTCCGTTTGTAGAACTGAACACACAAGATCAGTCGCCCTGACTGCAGGAAAGTATACCTCCAGGGTGGACCCCTAAACCCGAAACTCTAAAACCTGGGCGCCAAAGACATAAAGGGTTTGGTGTTTCGAGGCTTACAAGGCTAAGGAATCGGGGTTCCGATTCCCAGTACCTCGAGGCCTACGCGCGATTTGAGATCGGGGCTGATGGCCTCCAGTCGGATGGGAGTCTGACGGGGCTTACTTTGAAGCCGAGTGCTTCTAGCGGGGGCCGAGAGCAGAGGCGGCCCAGTGCTCACAGCTTTGCCGTTTTGCCGTTCACTGATGTCGGAGCAGATAACACCTACTCACCTCTAGGCCCAAAAATTCCAAAAACCCTGTAAACCTATAAGCCCTACCCTCAAACCCTCAAACCCTCAACCCCAAACCCCCCCCCCCCCCCGCTGTCAAGTAAAGAGAGTTGGCGATCGACTGGGAGTCTTTCATGGGTATAGGGATTAAGGCAAATCCATAGACTGGGTATGGGATTAAGGCAAAAAATAAACTGTCCCAAGACCCTACCTTGTTAGGGTTTGGGACAGTTCTAACCTTACTTGTGGGCATTCGTTGCCCGAGTTTTAGAGCTTGGGGGCTTTAGGTCGCGGGATCTTCGACCCCCAACGTTCCAAGGCTCCGGGCTTTAGGGCGTAGGGTTTTGAATCTAGGGTCCAGGGTCTAGGGTTCAAGGTTTCGAATCTAGGGTCTAGGGTTTAGGAAATAACTCGTGCAAACACACGGCTTGGGGATTCCCCCCCCCTCACATGGAATGCAAAAGGGACCTGCAGCCCAAAATTAAGGTCCTAAAACAAACCCCTCAACCCTAAACCGCAAGCCATCAACCCTAAATCCTAAACCCCACACCTCTCTTGCTTGCTGGCTGAAAGCCTCTGGGGCCGGATGGTCGGCTCCCCACGTTCTGCGATGCTGCGTGAAGGGTCCAAGCCACTGACTTAAGGGTTTAGGGTTTGGGGCTTTAGGGTGTAGGATGGTTTAGGGTTCAGGGTTCAAGGGGTTTGGGGCGGTTCTTTTCAGGCTTTGACGTAGACGCGGTCATTTAAAGGTAGGGGCTTGGGGGTTTTCTTGAGGTAAAGGTTCGATGGCTATGCAAGATTACAAAGTCGGGCAGCATTTATAAGCCTCAGTCAGGCACAGACATCAGACAACACAGCGTTTTAGCTACTCATGGTTACTGTAGGGCCCGGAAATGATAAAAAAAACCTTGACCTAAACCCTAGCAACCTTACCCCTAAAACCCTACAGACCATTACAGACTTTAACCCCGAAACCTCCCTGAACACTAGACTAAACCCTAAAAGACTTTAACCCCTAAACCCTAAACCCTCCAACCCCAAACCCTAAACCCTAAAACTCCCAACCCCTAAACCCCTACAACCCTAAACCCCGAAACCCGTAAACCCCTGAACCCCCAAACGACTAAACCCTCAAACCCCAAACCGTAAACCCTAAACCACAAAAACCTCTACCCTTGCAACCCCTCCCCCGCAAACCTTTCCCCTACAGCAACCCCTAAACGCCCCACTTCAGGCAAGGGGCCGGTCGCAGCAGGCGGACCGGAAGGCGCCTGCGGACCGTGGGCGAAGGCGTCCTGGACCGGAAGGTCCACGTGGCAATCGCAAAGGCCACTCCCAATCTGTATAATGATAGCCCTAAACCCAGGGCGCTGCGGACGCCTGCCATCCTTACGAAATGAAGGGATGGGGCTTAAAGAAAGCGCCCAAGATTAAGGGCTTCGACGAAACTCTAAAATTAAGGATTTGGACCCTAGATTAAGGGTTTGGGACCGAAATTAAGGCCACTCTCAGATTAAGGATTTGGACCCTAAATGAAGGGCTTTGAACCGAAAAATAAGGGTTCACGGACCACTCCAACAATTAAAGACGTTTCCGGGGCGCGTCCACCACGGTGTCCCGGCTGCCTGCGAGCACGTGCCCTCTGGAAGGGCGTTTGGCCACCTTCGGCTTGGCCTGCCGATCGAAGCGGATCCAATTGATGGGTCCCGCAGGCATGGGGAACAGTTTGATATCGAAGTTAGGGTGCTGGAATGACCTTTGCGACGAAGACCCTGAGCCCAATTAGAGCAGAAACGGCTCTTAAAATTTCTGGATGTAGCTCCAGGAGCGAGAAGTTTGGGTCAGGCACACGATGCTTGTCTTGGCGCTCTGCCTGCAGAGTTTCGTGTTGCGCCGGAAGCCAGGGCCTCAATCAAGCACTCACGAACGGTGACCTCACCGATAAAGGGACTCGCTTGCGAATCTTCGTGGGCCAACTCCGCATTTCCCAGCACTTCTCGCGGACACGAGCTTCTCCACCCACATCGGCTTTACCGTCAGAGCTCTCGCTACTACGTGCGTGGAACCAGGGACCTTGTTCGGCTTCGTCAAAGCCGCATCCCTGGGCTGGCCAGCCGCAAAGGATTGTCTTGGGGACTGACCTCCTCATCCGAAAGAGGAACGCCAGGAACCCACGCCAACGGATGCCGCTGCAGCAGCCAAAGCGGAGCTGCTCAATGCACACACACGTCTAAACGGAGCAGAGGCGTCACCGCTTGAGTTCGAGCCTGAAGACGCAAGTGGACCGAGGTTGTGCGCACGCGTGCGTAGATACAAATCTAATAAACAAGCAGATATGTCTATATAGATAGATATATAGATGGTACACATATATGTATATATATATATATATAGAGAGAGATATACACAAAGAGAAAAGGACACAAAGAAATGCGGGACGCCGTGGTGGGGGAGGTTTTCGTGGGATGTCTCCGTGAGGGGCTTCGAAAACTCCCAAAATATAAAGCAACCATCGACTTCAATACACATCGCACTCAGCCCCCCCAGCAGAGCATCGCCACCACCAGGGCGTGTCGACCAGGCCGTATCAAGGGGCCTTCCCAGGCCCAAGAATATCAAAACATCGCAAGGGGTCTCCCCCTTTTGAGGGCTCAGACTGTCCCCAAGGCGTCCCCACCAGACCGTTTTGACTAAAGAAACGTCCGTCGCCACGACAATCCCCCCAAGCCATCCCTGCGCGGCTTCCCCCTGTAAGGGGCGTCCCTGTAAGGGGCCCCCTCTCCGTGAGGGGCTTCCCAACATTCCAAACACAGAAGGCCTCCCAGAACCATCGATTTCAATTTCAATGCTAAAAACCCGCACTTTCATTGTGGGTCCGAGCCAATCCTGAGGTCCCCCCCCATTCGAAGGCTGAGGGCCACTCATCCCCACCAAAACGTCCCGATCAAGGTTTCTTCTACTAGAGAGTCTCCACCAGGGCAGCATCCCCACCGGGGCATCCTCCACCACGACATTTCTGCATTCATGAATAATAGCCATCAGGCTATCTCCACCAGATTGTTCTTTCCAAGGCATACACATGCGTTCCCGCCTTGCTAGGGGAGTTGGGGGGGTGGAAATTCCTACACACGGAAAAGGTTTTGTGATTTGGGTTGGGAGGGTGGGACTTCAGCTCATGCGCCGACGTTATGGGTGGGGGGGCGGGTCGAGGCGCACTCGCATGGCAAACCACTATCCCTAAACCCTAAACCCTAAACCCCAAACCCCAAACCCCTATAAACCCTAAACCCTACAAACCTTATAAACCCTATAAACCCTATAAACCCTATAAACCCTATAAACCCTATAAACCCTATAAACCCTATAAACCCTAAAAACCCTAAAAACCCTAAAAACCCCTAAAAGCCCTAAAAGCCCTAAACCTCGAACATCTTTCCCCCCCTAAAACCCCTATAAACCCCAAACCCCAAAAACCCCCATAAACCCCCTAAACCCTGAACCCTGAACCCTAAACCCTAAACCCTAAACCCAAAGGTGGCTTCGACCCCGGTCAGGTGGGCTCAGTTGGCAGGCAGCTGCCGGGGGGGGGCTTTTGAAGGGGAACCTGTGTGCTCTTTAGGGTTT